GTCACTGGATGGAGAGAAGGAGGGTGGGATATAGGTCACTGGATGGAGAGAAGGAGGGAGGGATATAGGTCACTGGATGGAGAGAAGGAGGGAGGGATATAGGTCACTGGATGGACAGAAGGAGGGTGGGTGGGATATAGGTCACTGGATGGAGAGAAGGAGGGTGGGTGGGATATAGGTCACTGGATGGAGAGAAGAAGGGTGGGTGGGATGTAGGTCACTGGATGGAGAGAAGAAGGGTGGGATATAGGTCACTGGATGGAGAGAAGGAGGGTGGGATATAGGTCACTGGATGGACAGAAGGAGGGTGGGATATAGGTCACTGGATGGAGAGAAGGAGGGTGGGATATAGGTCACTGGATGGAGAGAAGGAGGGTGGGAAATAGGTCACTGGATGGAAAGAAGAAGGGAGGGATATAGGTCACTGGATGGAGAGAAGGAGGGTGGGATAAAGGTCACTGGATGGAGAGAAGGAGGGTGGGATATAGGTCACTGGATGGAGAGAAGGAGGGTGGGATATAGGTCACTGGATGGAGAGAAGGAGGGAGGGATATAGGTCACTGGATGGAGAGAAGGAGGGAGGGATATAGGTCACTGGATGGAAACATCAAAGGAAACATTCAGTATCGGTAACACAACACACACACACACACATATACACACACAAACACACACTACATACACACACATATACACACACAAACACACACTACATACACACACACACACACACCACATACACACACACCACATACACCCACACAGGCACACACACACACACACTACATACACACACATACACACACATACATACACACACATACACTCACACACCCACACACACCAACACACACACACACACACACCAACACACCCACCAACACACACACCCACTCACACATATATACACACACATTCACACACCCACACACACACCAACACACCCACCAACACACACACCCACTCACACACCCACACACACACACCCACACAAACACCCACACCCCACTCACACACATACACCCACACCCACACCCACACCCACACACACACCCACACACACCCACACTCACAAGAAAGTGTCCGTGGCCAGGCCATAGGCAGCCGTCACCCTCCACAAGGCCAGAGCCTGTACCTGTACACTGACGGCCTCTTGTGGCGGGAGATGGAGGTCTCTGTGGGGGGACACAGCACACCGCAGTGTGACACATCACATCATGACACATCACATCATGACACAACACATCATGACACAACACAACATGACACAACAGATCATGACACAACACATCATGACACAACACAACATATCATGACACAACACAACACATCATGACACAACACATCATGACACAACACATCATGACACAACACATCAAGACACAACACATCATGACACAACACATCAAGACACAACACATCATGACACAACACAACATGACACAACAGATCATGACACAACACATCATGACACAGCACAGTGCAATGTCACACACCACAACGTGACACAACACATCACACCACGACACACCACATCATGACACAACACATCAAGACACTCCACATCATGACACAACACATCAAGACACTTCACATCATGACACAACACATCAAGACACTTCACATCATGACACAACACATCATGACACAACACAACACATCATGACACAACACAACATATCATGACACAACACAACATGACACAACACAACACAACATGACACAACACAACACATCACATCATGACACAACACAACATGACACAACACAACATGACACAACACAACACATCATGACACAACACATCATGACACAACACATCACGACACAACACAACACGACACATCACGACGCGACACAACATGACACAACACAACACATCACGACACGACACAACACATCACGGCACATCACATCACGACACATCACATCATGACACATCACATCATGACACAACACATCTGTCTAGTATTTCAGAACACTACAAATACAATACGGCGGTATACGGTCCAGTATTTCCCATACCTGTACGGTACTGCCAGATAGCGCAGTAGTCTCATGTGCAGCTGGTATTTACAGACCTGTAGAGCACAACATTTTGGGTCAAGAGTTATAGTTTGTTGAGAGAAAAACTACTGGGCAATTTCAACTGAATATTTGGCCCTCCAGAAGCAAAGCAGTTTGTGTGTGTCAGTCATTGGCAACAGAATGATGTCAACGCTCCAACATTTCTGATTCTTACGTTGGAACCTTTGGCTTTTACGGGGAAAATGGGAAATGTTCATCTGTGAGACCGAGAGAGATGAGTTGACATGAGACGAGATGAGACAAGAGGAGACCAGATCAGATGATTTTATTTTAGTAATCATTTTACGGCACTTGCAACGCAGCTAGGTCATTCAAGCGCCGAAGATTAGAGGAGTTACAAGAAAGTAACAAACATAAAAAAGAAGTAGGAGAGATGAGATGAGCTAAAATGAGACAGGATGAGATGAGATGAAATGAGATGATATGAGAACAGACGAGACGAGATGAGCAGAGACGAGATGAGATGAAACCAGACAAAATGAGAAAAGTTGATATGAGAACAGATGAGACAAGACAATATGAGACGAAATGAGATGGGAAGATATGAGAAGAGACCAGACGAGACAAGATGAGATGAGACAAGGTGATACGAGATGAGATGAAACCAAACGACACAACACGAGATGAGATGAAATGAGACGATATGAGACAAAACGAGGTGAGACAAGACAAGACGAGACAAGATGAGATAAGGGTGCACCACTCACCAGCGAGGCTGCAATGTTCCGCCCGGCCTGGCACAGAGAGCACACCAGTCTGAGCGCCGCCGCGACTGGCAGGCCGTACACACACGACACCCGCGACTGGGGGTCTGGGGGGGACATATAGACACAGAGTCACAGACATATAGACACAGTCATAGATATACAGTCACAGACATAATATATACACAGTCATAGATATATCTATACACAGTCAAAGACATATATATATACAGTCACAGACATAATATATACACAGTCATAGACATATACATACACAGTCATACATATATGTATACACAGTCATAGATATACATATACACAGTCATAGATATATCTATACACAGTCATTGACATATGTATACACAATCATAAATATATCTATACACAGTCATAGATATATATATACACAGTCATAGATATATATATACACAGTCATAGATATATATATACACAGTCATAGGTATATATATACACAGTCATAGATATATATATATATAATATACTGTCATAGATATAGATATATATAATATACTGTCATAGATATATATATATATATAATATACTGTCATAGATATATATATATACACACAGTCATAGATATATATACACAGTCACAGATATATATATATACAGTCATAGATATATATATATACAGTCATAGATATATATATACAGTCATAGATATATATATACAGTCATAGATATATATATATATATATATATATATATACAGTCATAGATATATAGACACAGTCACAGATATATGGGCAATTCTCCTGAAAACTTTTCGTAACACGGGTATCAAAATTTAGAATTCAACCAAATTGCTTGAAAATGTACTCATTACACATTTGACAAGTCTAGTTTTGATCCCTACAAGGCTGAAGCTAAAGCTTGTTTGGTTTCTTTGGAAACGGAAGTGAAGTTTAGACTAGTGCGCTATGGTCTTAAACGTTACAGGACACAACAATACGGGTCAAAACAGGAAATATCATTGAGTGAAAGAAAAATTGATTGGGCAAGCACAATGTCCTTTATATTCTTTGTTCACACAAATTTCAAAACATTTCTTAAAGAAGAAAATGCTTATCAGACAGTCATAATGTCTTTTATGTTACTTTACAAGAATTATTTTTTCAAAAAGAAAACTATAGTTTTATTTACAAAAATACTAATAAAAGTAGAACTGTAAAAAAGTATTGCTTTAAAACAGGACATGTAATGCTGTAGTTTCAGCAAATATGAACAAAATCGATAAGTGTTTTTGGCAGCAACAACAGCTAAATGTAGTAGTCTTAAACGTTACAGGACAAAGTATAAAAAAGAAGTGTGCAGAAAAAAAATATGTATTGAAATACTTCTTTGATGTTATCTGTTATGTTTTTAGAAAAAAAAGCTATCAACTTATACACTCATTGAGCATATTATTATTATAGAGACTTAAAATTTACGGGACAAAATCTTGTGGCAGTTACAAAGTGAAACATGAAATCCAAACTGAACTGAAATTAATTTTCCCAATAGTAAAAGCGGCAGCAGTAGCAGAAGCAGAAGCAGCAAAAACTGAAACAACAGTAGCAAAAAGTCAAACAAGGCCTTCACATCTCCTTCATTATCGCTACTAACATTGTCAAAATACATCGTTATTCATGGCAGCAAACAGTGTTCTATCTTTCTGTGATTTCTTGTGACATTATGAAGATGTTCACTTCTCCAAATGTTTCCACGGCATGGTGATCATATTGAAGATCCTTCGAGTGAGACCACAACGATTTTGTGAGTCTTGTACATGTAGCATCCCATTTGGCCCACTGTTGATGAATAGTTCCTTGTCCGTAGCTCCAACAGGAAGATTGAAGCAAATCCATCACAGTAAGGACCTCTACTTCCCTAACAGCTCTTTTGGATTTCAAGAACACGCAACATTGCCATTGAGCATGAAACAAGTGTATGGAATGTTTACTAGCTGCTGTTCAAAGTCCAACTGCACTCAGCAAGGATGAGGAACGTCAATATATATGTCTTTTTGCTGCTGTGTTAGGAAAGAGTTGTCTGACGTACATCTTCCAAAGTTTGCTTTCGAGCTGCTTTGACTTTTGGAAGGACTTTCACAACTCTGTGGACAGCTTGTTTGCAGGATGTGGATGTCTGTATGACACTTCCTCCAATATATTGGACCTTTTTTTCCCCTTCTCTGCGTCTTTACCCTTTTCCTTTTTGGAATGGTACCTTTCTCTAGCCTTAGCATTGTCTGCCCTTTCCTTCTGACTTGACCAGGATGCTGTTACTGTTACCTCTCTTGCGTAGTTTTTCCATTTCTTTCTTTAGTATCACTTGCCCAACAAACCTGCCTGTTGCAACTTTGCTAGTGGTAGTAGAAGCCAATGTGAGGTTTTTCCTTCTTGTTTTTCCTACATTTCTTGACTTGTTCGTCCGTCTTTGCCCTGTGATTTGCAGCCTTCTTTTTCCAGCCGAACGTCTTCAGCTGTTTACGATTGCACATCGATGTTACCTTTGTTTTCTTTAATCGGTCGTGGTATTCCTTAGTTGGTTCAGTCTTAAACTTTATTGTAATAAACTCTGTGTATTTCTTTTCAGAATATAGGTACTTGAAAGCAGTGCATTCAGAGATCTCTTCCACAAAGCACGCACCTATAGTACTGTAAAGTTGGAAAGAAAAAGTGGGAGCGGGAGGGGTAGATTGAAAAAATTTTACCGATCAGTTTTATAACTGAATTAAAAGAGATTAATCCGTGCTATACTTTGTGGAAAATAAGATTATGTTGCGTTACTTTTTTGTATTCTTTTATTAAAGTAATTAGCAACAGAAAAAGTAGTCACAACTTTTGTTTTGGAATGTATATGAAAGTGAATATAAACTTAAAACGATGCCATTCATCACTTATGTGGTCTTGCTTGTCTTACCATAGTCCAAGACGATCAAATCAACTACTATGTCCTAAATATTATTGGAACAACACTTGTTACCAAAGCTTTAGTCAAAATGATTTAGTCCGTGTAACCTTTAAGACCAATGTAAAAACTTACTTTCCTCTTGTTAAAGCCAATATTAACTTTTGATGAAAACTAAGGGCAAAGCTACACTGTGGACAAAGCGAAGCAGCACGGTCGGGGCAATCACAATAAAACCAAAGGGAAAGACGGACGTTACCAGCCGTACCAAGAACGGCACGAAGCGAGGAGATGCCAGGAGAAATTTTGACCGATGTACAATCGCTTTCATCACTTGAAATGTACATGTGTGCACACGAGCATATTATTGACAGCTTGCTTGACACTAGTAGGTCTACATCAGTGATAACAATGACAAGAAAGGAAAACGAGGAGAGTTAGGGAAAACTGTTTGTCAAAACTAACATGACAAATAAAAGCAAAACACACAGTGCATTTACTTTTATTCAAGGAAAGACATTATAGAATTGGCCTCTTTTTAATTAATTTGTTGACCAAGATCTACCTGTCTATTAGTTCTCCATAACATTCACTTTTTAACACTCTTTCCATCTGTCTCTCAATCTTTCTTTCTCAATCGTAGAGAGAGGATGTCCGAAGTTAGTCCTTCAGGTGAGTTTAACCAGTTTACCCCGAACATTTCATGCAAATAGAAAAAGGAATCACGACTCATTCAAACTGAATCTGCTCATCTGCTTTCGTTGTCTGGTGAATTTCTCGTCAAGCGCTGAACTTCACCAAACTTATGACACATTTAAGTAATCGCCTACTCCTTTCTTTCTTTTCTCTCTGTAGTCACCTCGTCGTGACACAATTAAGTAATCGCCTACTCCTTTCTTTCTTTTCTCTCTGTAGTCACCTCGTCGTGACACAATTAAGTAATCGCCTACTCCTTTCTTTCTTTTCTCTCTGTAGTCACCTCGTCGTGACACAATTAAGTAATCGCCTACTCCTTTCTTTCTTTTCTCTCTGTAGTCACCTCGTCGTGACACAATTAAGTAATCGCCTACTCCTTTCTTTCTTTTCTCTCTGTAGTCACCTCGTCTCTCTGTAGTTACCTCGTCTTTTTGTAGCTATTTCATTGATCAGGAGAAACGGCGCGAATCTTTTTCTGTTCATTTTCAACTGAAACTAAAATTGACATGGAAAATCTCATACGACGTCGGATCGCTTGCAGCACCCTCTTTGTCTTGTTCCCAGTTTACGCTTCTTTTTGTACCATCAAGCCTACAGTATGACATTACCCACAATATACTTTGTATTTCCTTGACAGAGTCTATCTGCAAAGTTTAATATTGATGCTCAAAATATTACATTCGAAACACCGAGCCAAGCAGCCTTATCCTTGTATTTTTAATGTTTCAGACAACGACAAGTTGTCAACTTCAATTGCCTCAACTGCCAACCCCAAAGCTAGAATTATGTGGCATCAACGCTTGAAATCCTTAAAATAAAATTCTTTAAGTAGCAACTCATTCTATAAAGATAAAACACAAAGACCAAGTCTATATCATTACAATGACGAAATCAAACATTTTGTCCATTTTCTGTTTCGAAACAACAAACACTATGAAAACCAACAATTCTTGTTTTGGCATAGGTCCAAACTCATCCGTTACCTTGAGGGACTCTTAGATTTCATCAATGACTCACACATTTTGCTGTCCTATAACAAAGGTAGCAAATTTTAAGTCAATTCAAGGCTTAATCATTACTTACATCTTAATCGTTACACTGCTAAAATTGCGTGACCAAGTCATTCATATTCACTTTCTATAGGCACCGTTGTCTTGCCGGGGAATAGATGAAAGCCTAGTTGATTGGAAACCAGTGCACTTGACAAAAATACACCGCACTAAAATTTCGAGCATCTTCCGATGGAAGAAAAATGCAGATCTTAATCGTTACGTGACAAAAATTCATAGACGCAACTATTTACCGCCAAAAATTCGTAATTGCTGTAGCAATTTTGTTCTTGGTTGATGAAAAGACTAAAGTGATCGTATTTCTCATTCTACAGTGAAAAATTACACTTTTTAAAAGATCGATTGAACTGAAGATAGGGTTACTGTTTTTTACCATTTTACGAACGAGACATGTAGCGTTTAAGACCGAATTTTATGTCTTTTGTATG